TACTGGAAATAAATATATCTTAGTAATTACTGCAATATATTTTTCTGACTCATATAATAAATAAGACGCTGTATTTCATCATAGAATGACATTACAATATGATTCATCATTAATTTTGCTTTCTTCACGAAAAAGCAACATTATCGGTTTTTTTACATTTATATTGTTAGATTTTACGGTCTCCAGACGTTTCGTTGCTGCCATTCCGAACATCCTTTTTTGACACCGGATGTTCGGAAATGACATTTAGTCCGTCAACGAATGTTCGGAAAAAAATCTAACGGATCTTCGGAATGAATTATGTCACATGACAGAGTTACAAAAGGTAGATGTTTGTAACAGAAACTACCTAGTGTTCGAATACAAACATAGGGATGTTCGAAACCAAACAAACAGGATTCAAACGGAGTTAGAAAGAAAGAAGAATAGATCTCAGAATCTCGAAAGTGAAAGCTCGAAAAAAAAACATATTAGTTATTTTGATGTAAAAGTGAATATAACTTTGTAATTCAGTATACACTTTCACATCTGTAACTATGTGTCTAACATACTGTGTACAGTGTTGTGAAAGGAAGAGTGTTTTGAACATCGGTTAACTGGAAGTAAAGTGCTGCACTAATAAAAGAAACAGATCTCCATTCTGAATATCACTTTTGTTTTTATTCCGAACTCCCGTGTAAATTTTTACGAACATCCGTTTATCGTTGTTCCGGACATCCCTATATTTTTATTACGAACATCCGTTAAAATTATCCAGTTCCTTATACCGAAATGTGCGTGTCGTTGCCGTTCCGAACACCCGTTAAAAATTTTTACGAACATCCGATATTATTATCATAAAAGTAATCATATTTTGAAGAAAACGGACGTTCGGAATGAAAAGTAGCGATGAAACGTCAAAACATCGATAGAAGTTGCTTTGAAAAAAAGTTCAAATCTTCGCAATACTTAGTTTTCGCATCCAGGATTACTTTGAAATCCGTTTGACAGTTGATTAATTGAGTACAATTCTAATCGTAGCCACGAGTATTTCAATGAATCAAATTAATAGTATGATTAAATGAAATAAGATTTATTTTTTTACACATGGATAGTAGTTTTACATGCAAAGTTACGTACTGTTGAAGGCGATCAGATCTTGTTAGTTCTTATGATGGTTTAGAAGACAAACAATTTTCGTTAATAAAGGAAAATATAAACAATAGGAAATACTCACACCAAAGACACACAGATACAACAAAGCTTTCTTTTTCTATTTCTATTTACGGTATTTACATGATATTGCTTTCTGTTTCTGTAAGATTTTCTATTTATTATCTTGTCAAGATTTTCTAGCATTTTTTCAAAAAACAAGTAAAAAATTTTAGAGTAATTTTTACAAAAGCAACCTGCGCAAAGAGAAAGTTTTTGGGTAGTTCAGCGTATTCGATTTCTATTCCTTGACTTGGAAACTCTTGTATGCCCTGTCCTTGAGTAACTCCAAAATCGGATGTTGTTCTTCAAGCATACGAATCTGAGGATGGTCTGCGGGTAATATACTATAACCGATGTTGAGTGCTAATTCGGAATATCGAGAAGCTGATACATAATCATCACTCATCATATAGGCACTAGCAACGACATAATAAAAAGTGACTAGCTGATGATGATCATGTGTAAGAGCAATACAGATTGCTCTCTGACCGTAGTCAAGCACTTTTGACCAGTTTTTTTGTTGAACATATATCTGGCAAAGAGCGCTGCAGATAGGTATCATGAGTCTATCATTTTGTATCGTTGATTTTACTTCGGCAGCCAAAGCTTCATGGTAAAAGTTTAATGCCTCTGATAGATTATTTTTTTTTTGATGAATTTCACCTATGTGGTACATAAGACTCGAGCGACCTGGATGATTTAATGATGAACCAATAATTTCCAATGCCTTTTGAAATGAGTCATACGCTTCTACATCATTATGTTGTTTTAAATAAACTCCACCAAGATTAGCATAAGTATGTACTAGAATTGGATGTTTTGGTGGTAGCGATCTTTGCTGCATTCTTAAACATTCACGTAAATAAAACAATGCTGAATTCAAATTATTTTGGTACATATAACTAGCTCCGACGTGACAGTAGGCTAATGCAACAGTTGGATGATTGGTTGGCAAAGTATTTTGAACAATATTAACTGTTTTAAGAAAATATTCTAGAGCACTAAGATGATTTTCTTGTTTTTCATATAATGCACCTAGATTCATATAAGGAATTACTAGTTTCGGATGATCAGACGGGAGAAATTCGTGGTAAACATCAACCGTTTTGTGAAGATAGTTGAGTGCTTGAAGAACGTTACCTTTGTTCAAATGAGAAAGACCGAGATTATTGTAGACGCCCGCCAGTGTCTCGCGGTTAGATGGTCGTAATTGTAGAGCTTTTTCACCCCATAATAGCGCCTTATCGAAATTCATCTGCTCATTATAAATCCACGACAAATTTGAATAATACGTTGCTTTTGTTGTTGAATCGTTAAATTGACTGTTTTTAATTAACATTAACATATAGTATTCAGCATTTTGAAAATCTCCCATTTTGATCAATAAACCACCGAATGTATTCAAAGTATTTGAGTGGCCAATTTCATTTTTGATACTATTGGCTAATTTATTTAATTCCTTATCTTCTTCTCCATTCATCACTAAGCGAACTGTCCAAAAATCTTCAGAATGCAATCTTTGAACTGATTTAATACGAAAAACAGCGGCCATTGAAAAGAGTATCTCATCTTCTTCTTTCATGTAACTCATATATCTTATGTCGGCAATTGGTTGCCGACATTTTTCGATTTCAATAGATATTTCGAACAAAACTGATTCTACATTCAATCTATTTGATGATGAATTACCGGTAAACATTAATGCAACTTGTTTATTTGCACTTGTTGAAAAGAAACTATTCACTGACAAAAAACCACCAATATTTTTCCTAATTTTATCATCAAATTCATCTTTAGTCATAAATTGTCCACGATAAACAACAGATGGTAACAACAATGATTTTGATTGTTCTGAATGCAATGATTTTAGTTGATTATAAAGATCAGTAATGAAGAAACCAAGCTTAAATAAAATATCGATATCCTGTATTCGTAGTGCATTATTCAGTATGCGATACAAAAATGAATCACGTGTATACCAACAAACAGCCTGTTCTTTAGAATATTTTTGACTGAATTCTTCGATTTTTTCTAATTCAGGAGTGTTGCCATGATATTGTGAGTGACAGACAGCAACGAATTCATTTTTAGTCGACTCTTCGTGTTCTAATTCAACAAGAACTTCAGTGAGCATTCGGAAGTACATAAAGGCTGCTTCTTGTTGATCCGAACGATCACTAGGTGGTGAAGGTAAAGCGCTTAATAATAATGCAGATGAGTTAGATATTGAGTGTGTTGTTGTTGTTCTGTTAGTCACAATATCTCGTCGCAGTGCATCATACAACATGTTTAAATTAGTAAAAATGCCACCAATTTTATCAAATGTTTGAGATAATTTACCATGATATTGGATGTTTATACAAACAACATAGATCATTTTAATTTGCTCTATTTGATAGATAAGTGGAACAACAATATCTGCTAATGAGCCAGAAATAAGAAGATAAACCTGTTCATTTTCATTTGATGACATGTAGTCTACGCATTCATCAGTATTTTTGAACATTTTTGTATAATTAATTATTTGACGTAGTTTTAATTTCACCTGATTTATTTCATATGAATTATAGAGATCTTTATCTAACCAAATAAGTGTGTTTTCTTCGAAATTTCGTTCTTGTTGCAATTGGCCAGAAGTCATATTGTAATGTAAATTTTAATTGAGTGAACAAAGTTCTGCCAATGAGACAGTATCTCAAATAATCATACATGACTGTAAGAAAAATTACGAAAGAAAACCATACAAAATAGAAAATCTGGTAAGTTGAGCGATGAAAAAGTATATATTCAATGTAAGAAGAGGGACGAGAGCTAGTAGTCTGACTTGAAAGACGACAAAAAGTATTTGCCTGAGACGAAAAACAAATCGAAAAAGTCGGACTTCATTCTAATGATAAGTGTTTAGCTCAAAATTTTTAAATCTGCATATTCACATTGCTCGAATGACAATTAGGAAGGGGAGCTGTTATTACTAAATTGTATTAAAAGTGTTCCGTCACTTTTTAACTATATCCAGATCTCAACAAAGATAAGACCAATAGGGTTGAGATTCTCGCCGAGAACATAGAAAATGATGGGTACTGGTGTGTTTAAAGTCTTATTTTAAAACATGTAGAGACCCAATATATCTTTTCATGCATTAGATCTTGTCTAATGATTAAACGAACCTGTCGCCCTCTAATGAACACTTCTTAATTGGCAGAGTCGGAAAAACGTGCTTCTGTAGATCTAATTGTCAATACATTAAATATTTAGAAACACGTTCTGATGTATTTGTTGTCGAAACGCAATCGAATGTATAGTGAAAGGACTTATTCAGTAAAAATGAATGTGGACAATTAACGAGAAAGTTGTATGTAAAAGAAAATGCAAACATGGGCTTAGTGAATTATGTCTTTCTTGAAATGTTATAAAACTACTGCAGGAAGGCTAGCTATCATGTTATTAGATACTAGCGGAAGTACCCGATGTTGATCGAGATAATTTGATAGCACATATTTGGCGTAAGAGAAAACGACGTCGCTATGGTCTTCTTCTAGTATAATGTAATAGGAAAATTTCATGATGTAGTGTAATAGGAAAATCCCAATGACGATATACGATTCATCCTTTTCGTGAATTTCCAGTATGCACTATAATACAGAGATAAAATGTACGATACCTATGTTCTACTCAGGGGTGGATCCAGAAAGTTTTCTGAGATGGTGCGGCGGGGAAAAACTGTCATTTATATTAGGAAAAAGTGAACATTTTTCGTCTAAGGAAGGTGCGACCGCCTCTCCCCTTCCCTTGTATCCGCCACTGGTTCTGCTTGTATTTGACATGATCCACTCAGTAGAGTCATGGGTGCTTCAGTAACGTATCGAGCTCAATAGATTTCCGCCAAATTTTGAAAACTGTGGAAAACCTCCTCCCCCAATCGCGCCAATCCCGTCTCAACCTTCCTCTGGATCTAGGAGAGTGCCATGGAAAGTTTGGTGACGCTAGCTATTACAGGGACTGACTGCATAGCGAACAGACAAACAGACACATTCTTCTTTATATATATAGATACCGGATGTCCAAAAATGTTTGCACACATTTTATTTTGCATATATCTCAGCATGTAAAACTGATAAAAATTTTGAATCTTTTTTAAAAATACGGCGTCGAAAGCTCTACAAACCTGTATGAAAAAAATCCTATTGCAAAACAAAAAAGGTCTTCTAAAGACTTTCTATCATGCTCCATATAGTGAGAAGTAGCACGAATATGGAGATGTTTATTTTTGGATACTGGAAAAATGATTAGTGCATATTACAGCAATTTGCTCCGACATTTTTTTTGTAGAGCTTCTCATGGCACATAATTAAAAAAAAGAATCATTAATTTTTATCAGTTTTCCATGCTGAGATATACGCAAAATAAAATGTGTGCAAATATTTTGGGACACCCGCTATTATAATTTTTTAAAGATTACTGTTCTTTCGGTGAAAAGTATACTAACATGTTCAACTACTGAATTAGATACGTATATATGTTACTCTATTTGTCTATCTCAATTCTTTCTTTCACTATTCATATACAAACTGTGATGAAAACCAAAAAAATCTTACAGCGCATCATTGTGTAGTGGAAATAATTTCTATCAAGCAAAGAATTAGATAAGAATATGATATAATAAAACAAATATTTGCAAACATGAAAGTTAACATCATGTCACAATCAGTTTTTTCTTCCAACTCTGTCGCATCATCAACGACTCATTTATAAAAAAACAAATAATGTGTTGATTTAAGTACAAAACTTCACTATAACAAATGTCCCACAGATCTTTTCATTTCTCAAAAGGTATCATACCGTTCAATTCCAAGAAAATAGAAGCCATCGTGCCATGTTCCGTCCCACACTATTAGAACGGTTTTTCTATATTTTTCTTTTCCTTTGACCAGTTGTGGGCTGTGTTATATTGAGCACGTACTTCATCAGTCGAGGAACTTGAGGGTGTGGGTGTGTAAAGCTACCATGATGTCGACATTTCACCTGAGCAAATAGGATCTTCAGATGGCAGACGTTTCGATTCAAGATGGAATCTGAAACAATCTATGAGTCTATACTGTTACAAGAGTAATGATAGACTGAATTTACGGTAATGTGTGTAAAGGGTGTGGGTGTGGGTGGGGTGTGGGATGTGGGTGTGGGTGGGGTGTGGGTGTGTGGTGTTGGTGTGGGGTGGGGTGTGGGTGTGGGTAAAGGTTATTGTTTCTCAATCACCCACACCCACACCCCACACCCATACCCCAACCACACCCACATCCCACATTTACATCTCACACCCACACTCACACCCACCCACCCACGCCCACACCCTCACCCCACCCACCCACACCCCACACACACCCACACCCACACCCACCCTAGTAGACGCTGAAGACTCTGGTAGACCGTGGCAAACCCTACTAGGCCATGCTAGACCCTGGAGACCGTGGCAGACGCTGGTAGGCCCTGATACATGAGACTTAACTCATAAGAAATATACATATGCATTTCTTGACATATGTTATATGGAAATTTTTGAATTATTTTGTAATTCATTTGTGTGATGAACTCCGAAACTGTTTCTCTAGCTTCACACTACTTCTAAAATACTTCAGAGTCGGTGGACAGTAGTTTATAATCTCCAATTTGTTGCCCATTCAATGATTTCTTAGACAAACAAATAAATCTTTTGCATATGATGCTTTTTTTTGCAACTACCTCATTTTATCGGAATTTTACAAGTGCTGTCTCAAATAGAGTTGCTAGCTTATCTTTATTGTGCTCTGTAATAAAATGAATCGAGATAATAGCTATATTCGTGCGTTAAAGATAAATGCTGCACTACGAAGTTTGAGGGTGTGAGTGTGGATTCACTACTTCTCTTCATTCATACCCACATCCAGATCCAGATCCACACCACCACAAACACATCCACATCCACCGGCAGCCATAGTCACACCCCGACGCCTACACTCTCACAGCCACAGCCACACCGACACCCTTGCAAACCAGTTTCAACAATAACATCAAAACTTACAAAAGTACCAATGCAACAACTATCTAAACGTGATTTAAAAATGGATCTGGAAAAAATATTAAAACAGACAAGTGTGCTTAAACACCAAGAATTAAGAAATGATATCAAAATAAATCCGAAAGATGCAACCAAAATCCCGAACATTACCATTCAAAAGGAATCTAGTAGTGATCTAATTACAGATCCGAAGGAACCAGTAACACCTACAAATGTACGCGAACAACCTCAGCTTGAAATGACTGTATCGAATGATAACATACGTTTAGTACCATCTGATCCCAATGCTTTTACGCCTGTGTTCTGCCAGCAACGCCAGGCAGCCATTGACAATATGGCTTATCGAACAGCAGTTAATAGCTGGAAGGCGAAAAGTATTCGTGATGTCGTCAAGCTCATAAATGAGTTATCATTCGGCAAGAGTTTAATCGATCGAGCTTGGATTGTATTCTATTGGGTTTCTCAAAACGTTAAGTACGATTTTAAATCTTATTTTTGGGGAGTATTTGGACATTCATCCCCGGAAGATGTGTTTAAAAACCGAAAATGAGTTTGTGAGGATTTTGCTACAATTTTCAAGGCTCTGTGTAATGGAGTTCAGCTAAAATGCAAGAAAATCAGTGGATACGCCAAAGGATACGGTTATAAACTGGAGAAACCAGCTTTTAATCGAACAGATCATGCTTGGAACGTTGTTCGTATTGACGGTCATTGGTATCTTGTCGATCCGACTTGGGGTGAAGGACACATAAACTATAAAAATCAGAATGTCAAGCAGTTAAACCCGTTTTACTTTCTTGTGCGTCCAGAACAGATGATTTATAGTCATTTGCCTGAAAACTCACAATGGCAATTATTGATATCTCCTATTTCGATGGAAGAATTCGTTCGTCTACCATATGTTTATCCGAGTTATTTTGAACTTGGTCTTCATCTGTTATATCCTTGTCAATCTAATACAGTTTCGTTTGATTCAAATAGACAACTAGTCGAAGTTCTGCTACGAGCTCCACAAGATGTAGGCTGCATAGCCAGCATGAAATATCGAGGATATAAGAAAAACAAAGCCAATTGTCTAGTTCATTATGATGCCGATCGTCAGCTCTTGCAATGTCTCTTTGCGCCACGTAGGAGTGGTTTTCATAAGTTAACCATATTTGCTAGGCGAGAAATGCAAATGGCAACTAGGAAAGTCAATAATAAGAAAAGCTATTCTTGTGTAGCTAAATTGGGGTTACAAGTTCCAGATGGTTTCAAAGGAAAAACATGCGATGGTAAATTCCGCTTTCTAGGAAATTCAAAAAAATGACTATAGAAGAAATTTCATGGAAATTTAATTGAATGTTTTAAAGATAATCATAGTGAACACACGTTATAAAAAGGAATATCAAAAAAAGTTTAAGTTTAAGTTAGAGTTTCGTTGGGCTGGGTTGGGTCGAATCAAGTCAAGTAAGAATATATATCTGTATGTATATATCAGATATGATACAACGTCGAGATGTGTTGACTTGGATCACAAAATGAAACTCATTACGGCATGAAATATGTATGGAACAGAAGTTTAAGTTAGGTTTTGTTTGGGCTGCATC